TACTGTCACGTCAGCGCATTTTTCCTCTCGCTTCCGACTGACGTTATGAAGGCCAGATCCACCTGATCGATATTTTCTCTCTCATCGATGTTTCTAACTCCCTGTCCCTCTACCTTCCTCTCTGTAAAAAATCAATAAAATATATTACATAAGAGAGAGATGCAGTCTTCTTCCCATGTACCTGAATGTCACCTACAGGTACAGCTGATGTGCAGATAGTGGCTTATATTACCAGCCCCCATACTTGTTGTACTATGGTACCTAATCTGCACAAATATTTTATCAACAACATATTCCTACATAAAACTAGGAATTATATGAGCTATTTATCTTATTCCCTAATATTTTTTTAAATTTGACTTTATTGAAATATAATTTTTTTAAAAATATATATTTTATTGATTTTTTACAGAGAGGAAGGGAGAGAGATAGAGAGTTAGAAACATCGATGAGAGAGAAACATCCATCAGCTGCCTCCCGCACATCTCCTACTGGGGATGTGCCCACAACCCAGGTACATGCCCTTGACCGGAATCGAACCTGGGACCCTTCAGTCCGCAGGCCGACGCTCTATCCACTGAGCCAAACCGGTTTCGGCTATTGAAATATCATTTACATGCCATAATATTTACCTGTTTTAAGTGCACAGTTCAGTATCTTTTAGTAAATACCCCCAAGTTATGCAACCATTATCACAATCCAGCTCCTAAGGCCCCTTTTAAAATACTGTGGTAAACCCAATGGTTTAAAAAAAACAAACTAATATTATTAAACCACTCCAACATGACATATATGAAATAGGTTTCGGAGGAAAATAACAAAAGCAAAAATAATTTTTAAGATACAGTTTAGCACTTTCTCCCCCTAGCCATAACTTTTATATCCAAATAGCTTCGTAGCTAAATATTCAGAATTTTGGGGAAAAAGGAACATTAATAATAAATTGGCATTTTACAAATGATGATACTGAGGCTTAGAGAAATGAAGTAATTAATCACAGCCTATAATGACTACATTGGCTAACTAGCTTCTACTCTATGTCATAAGCTACAGTTAAACATAAAAGGACTTTTGCAAGTCTTCTATGGGAGGTGAGTCCCTGTGCTTTAATTAGAAAAGTCCTCCCCAAAAATGTTTTTTTTAAATCTTTTTATGGGTCATGGATGCCTCTGAGAATCTACTGAAAGCTGTGAATTCTCTCTCCAGAAGTGAGCCCATTAGGGCACAAACAGTTTTGCTATCTTTTCAGAACTCAGCCCTGCAGCCCCGAGCAATTCCCGAACCACAGCTACAGAAACCTGCTGGAGAGTGCTGGCTGTACTGTGACACAAAATGGTTCAAATCAGCTTTACAGGCGCAGCCCAAACCCAACATCTTCCCATGGGAGCAGGGGGCATGCCTAACAGTGAGACAGGATGACAATGCTTTTGTCAGTATTTGCACCAGAGCATGGAATTGCGCTGTGTCAGCATGTACACGTAGGGTTCCAAACTGTTCTAGCAAGCGGACCCCTGCACTAAAAATACCCTCAAGACACCTGGCAAGAGTCCCCAGCCTCAGAGCGTCACGTCCTGTCCCCACCCCACGTTCAGTGAAGGCGGATCCCTGCCACCTGAAGGCACAGAAAGCATTCACCCCTTATTGTAGTTTACACGTCTGCAATACCCAACGCTCTCTCTTCCCACAAAAAAGGAAATACACTGCATTAACATTGTGGCCTTAAATTAGTGGGTTTCAATAACACAACTAGCATTAGAATATCACCACAAAACTTGCCTGTTGATTTAAGGGTCCATGAGCTCTTCATTTAACACTGAGGCTGTGGGTAACTGCTAGAAAACTGCACCCGGTTCAGCAGGGTTTTCCTCCCGGTGACCTCTGCGTGCCCGTGAGCTGCCCCTGCCTGTTACACCCGGCTTCTCCAAGGGGGCAGCGAAGGCGACAGAAACACCAGCTGGCTCCGGCTGCAAATAGCAACAGGCCCGCTGTGAGTGAAAGCCCAAATATAGACCTGCCCAGGCTGTCCTGCCACTTCTGCTCAAGTGTCACCGAGAGAGGTCACATGTGGACCCGAGTTACTTCTTACTATGGGGCTTGGAGTCCTGCGGTTCCACCGAGGGACTCAGATGGCTGTTCATGTGCAGAGGTCTGGGGCAGGAGGGCGGCCTCGGCCACGCAGAGCACTGCTGAGAGCCCTCATGGCTTTGCACCGTCCACCCGGGCTGAGGGTCTTTTTCCAAAGTGTTTTGAACAAGCACAGCTCTAAAGGCAATCAAATGCAACTAAATTTTCCCTTCCACTATTCCTTTAACATCTACTCAAGGTGCGACTTGTTCCCCACTCTGGATAAAAATCCATCAGACTCATGATTTTCTGCTCCCTCTTGGGTCACACACTGTCCTGGGGGCCTAGTCTCCATTCAGCAGTTAAACGTACAGTTCAATACATTAATCAGTCACACTGAGCTCGGCCGGCGTGGCTCAGTGAGGTCGACCTATGAACCAGGAGGTCACGGTTCGATTCCCGGTCAGGGCACATGCCTGGGTTGCAGGCTCCATCCCCAGTAGGGAGCATGCAGGAGGCAGCCAATCGATTCTCTCTCATCATTGATGTTTCTATCTCCCTCTCCCTCTCTCTCTGAAATCAATAAAAATGTATTTTTTAAAAAAGGCACAAGAGTTTAGCCAGCATCAAAATCTCCCTTCCCCAGGTGGCGTCTCCAGCTGTCAGTCTGCCCTGAGAAAGGAGGGATGAGGTGGCCGGTTCTCCCACACCTCCTCCCTGAGGTTTGGAGGTCAGGGCAGAGGAGCTAAGGTGCTAAGACAGCTCCTATTTGAGCTGGCGTCACACGGGTGCAGCGGCAGGCTCTGTGGGGCTGGCAGAAGCTTAGCGCTCTCCATCTCTCCCTCTCCCGAGAAGTAACTGTACTTCTCTGGTTTCCCACTCCGGACACCTCTCCCCCGAAGTTCCCACAACCAGCTGAGTAACCCTCTATTCCAGGGGGTCCCTTGCAGTCCTCCCCCAAGCCCTGGTGGGCCACCTCTCACAGGAGGTCTCCTCACCCATGCAGCTGGTTCTCTTAGGCAGGACCCAGGTGACTCGTTGCTGGCTCTGGCTTCCTGCTGGCCCACGTCTGGATCTTGGGGAGTCGGCCCCATCCTTGGTCCCGGCAAACTGTAGGAAGCAGATGTCCCGGTGCAGCCACCTCCCCTGGTTCTGCCACTGAAGTAGCCAATCCTCCAGCCTCAGGCACCACTGGCCCACCTGCAGGAAAGACAGTGAGCTCTCTGAAGGGTCCCTCTGCAGACCCCTCACTGAGCTCAGGGGTCAAGGGTGGGACTTCCGCCCGGCCGGTGTGGCTCAGTGGTTGAGCAGCGACCAATGAACCAGGAGGTCACAGTTCGATTCCGGGCTTGATCCCCAGTAGGAGGCAGCTGATTAATGATTCGCTCTCATCGTTGAGCTTTCTATCTCTCGCTCCCTCTCCTTTCCTCTGAAATCAATCAAAAAATATTTTTTTTTAAAAAGGGGTGGACTTCCAACTCTTCCCCCAGCCCAACAACAGCTCTTTTCAGAGAAATTGCTCCACCAGTCTCTTGACTCTGATCCTGTTTTCGATTGGCTGAGAGCATGAATCAGGTTCTGGACCATTGCCTTTCGAAGTCTGCAAATGGTGATTTGATCTCAGAATTTTATACCTACTGCTTTTTGGGACCTCAATAAAAAATCCCATTTAAACAATACCATTACTGCAGGGTATCTATCATATAAGAATTTAGAAGCAAGATAAAATATCAAAAGCAAAGAAAAGTATTTCAATTAAAACTGTGCAAACCTGTCTGCACAACAATGTTCATTACAGAACTGTCTACTGACAGAAAATTTGAAATAAATCTGTTTACTATGGGGAATTCATTAAATAAATCACAATAGTCAATTCAATATTAACAAGTATTAAGAATAACAATGTAGATGCCAGTTTTTTAAGATATATATATATATATTTTTAAATATATTTTATTGATTTTTTACAGAGAGGAAGGGAGAGAGATAGTCAGAAACATCAATGAGAGAGAAACATCCATCAGCTGCCTCCTGCACACCCCCCACTGGGGATGTGCCGCAACCCAGGTACATGCCCTTGACCGGAATCGAACCTGGGACCCCTCAGTCCGCAGGCCAATGCTCTATCCACTGAGCCAAACAGGTTAGGGCAAGATATATTTTTTTTTATTGATTTCAGAGAGGAAGGGAGAGGGAGAGAGAGATGGAAACATCAATGATGAGAGAGAATCATTGATCGGCTGCCTCTTGCATGCCCCACACTGGGGATCGAGCCCGCAACCCGGACATGTGCCCTGAGTGGGACTCAAATTGTGACCGCCAAGTTCATAGGTCAACACTCAACCACTGAGCCATGCTGCCAGGCAGATACCAATTTTTTTAAATGTGGAAAATGCCCACAGTATGTTTGTAAGTAGAAGAAGAGTATGCAAAATATAATTACAGTATAGTTATGAATACATGTAAGTATGTATAAATTCATACACACACATAAAATGAGGTTTATTTCTTTTGAACTATTTTGCTTTTTTATAGCTTTGATCGCGTCTATTTCATAGTAAATATTTGTACCTTCTGTTAAGTTTTAAAAGTTTTTTTTAATTGTAAAATAACATGATATTTGGCTTATAAATAAGTAAATTCTACAAAAGAATCATAAAGTGAGTATAAACTAGTCATCCGTCCTGGTAACAACAATTATTAGGTTTGGTGTGTATTTTTCCAAATTTTTTTTTCTAAGAAGATACAAACTTATCCCTCTCTCACACACAAAGTAGAACTTTTATAATTAGAAAGTCTGCTAGTTTCATTTTGAAAAAGCAAATTAGAGCCCTAGTTCATCTGGCTCAGTGGATAGAGGGTCGGCCTGGGGACTGAAGGGTCCCAGGTTCGATTCCAGCCCAGGGCACATGCCCGGGTTATGGGCTCGAACCCCAGTGGGGGGCGTGCAGGAGGCAGCCAAACAATGATTCTCTCTCATCACTGATGTTTCTATCTCTCTCTCTCCCTCTCCCTTCCTCTCTGAAATCAATAAAAATATATTTAAAAAGGAAAAGCAAATTAGAAAAACTGCTAGAAAGGATAAAATAGAGAACAAATACTAATAATTACAAATAAATCATATTAGCTAAAGTAATATATTAAAAATAGTCTTGAGGGGAAAAAAATCACTTCGCTACAAGCTTCTCTCTCCAAGAGGCCTGGGTGACAGTGAGAGCTGCAGTTCTGAGTCCAAGAACCATATTCCACCCACATAGGCACTGAAGTGGGGGGCCCCCGCCTTCAGACAGGCAACTTTAGAGCTTGTGATCATCTTCAGGGGGAGACATGTCCCAACATCAGCTTCAGCCTCGTCCTGTTTTGTTTGTTTTTGCTGCTGCTTACCTTGAATGTAACAGTAAGTGCAAATCTGATTCCAGGCTGTCCCAGCTCAAAACCTTCAAAAGCTGCTTCCCTGGTTCCTGAATCAACCCCCCCCCCCC